TGCTAGCTAATTGGGAGATGCTGGCAAATTTAAGTATTAAAGCATACGAATGTGGCTTTTCTTTAATTTAAACCGAATTTTTAATACTCGCTGAGGCACGTGACCTCTAGGTTTCTATTTCGCTCCAGAGACTCTCATTTTAAGGATTCCGACAATGTAGCCAGATACAATCGAAATTATTGTATGCTGGGAAAAAATATGATTGCTTTTGGCTCTTGCATTTGAAAACATTACGTTCTCTAGTATTTTAAATACGAAACACATACAGTTTGCAAATAAGATACCAAAATCTGTGCATAGTCTAGATTGATACCTGTACTTAACAAATATCTCCTTGAATATGTCTGTTACTATGCAAGTTTGAAACTGTTACTGTCAAAACCTCAAATAAAATAGTCATTGTGGGTCAATAGCTAATAAAATCTCCATAGGTCACAAGGTTAAGCCTGTGAATTTTCAAAGACCCATTCTCCTTTAGCAATGAGAGGTCAATTTTGTTTACGAGCATAGTCCCAAACCTGTGCACTCTTTTCCAGTAATCATTCCTTCTGTGATAAGTATTTCAAAAAATCCATCACCTTAATGATATCTTCTCAAAAAACCGAAGATTTCTGACGAGCAATAGTGAAAGAAGAAAAATTATTAATAAAACATTCGAGCGAGCAGCGATGGTTATCAGAGAACTTTTAAAGGATTTTAGGTTATTATCGTCGTTTCAAAACATCACTATCATTCAAAGTCAACATTATCAAAAAAACTTAGTCATACCTTGGAATTTTCTTGAGTTATTCCCAGTGTGGGTCTGTTTTCCACTTCTGGACTCGGAACATCGTTCGAACATTGAGAGTCGAAAAATCCGCTATCAGCTTGCCTACGTCTCGAGCTTCTACGTTTCGGCCCTCGATCCGACGTAGCCATAATTACACCGATGTTTAAGCGATTTTCAATCTAGCCACGTGCATTCATATCACAGGAAAAAATCAAAATTACTTAAGCCAAGTGTATTCCAACTCCGTGCTGCCAAATAGAATCTCAGCCCGCTGCGATGTCTTTGTTCAAATAGTTTAGCATATTCACCTCTGATTCGCTTTCGCAACTAAACAAAGAAAGGTAGGCTGGATTGGCTAGTCAAACACAAGACTAAAGGGGCAGTACCGAAGCTTATAGCTAAAACTGATTTCCAAAGTTAATCACACAAAGCTCAGTCTTTCTTCCACGAATTAATAAACAAACGTAAATACACGAGTGAATAATAAAGGGACGGATTCACGTGAAAACACCGACATTCGGCTGCAGCTAAAAGCCGGCATTACTGCAGTTATTGACCATTTCTCTGGAGTGCACTACAGAGATAAGTTGACGGGATATTTCCAGGACCCGTGGCATCTGCGAGAAAACAGGGAAATCAGCAACATCCTAGAGGTTTCCCAATACTGTTGTAGCATGAGAAATCTACCTAAATATTCAACAGGGTCGATAGCGATGGAGGGGCAGGGGTCAAGCGCACCAATACGCTTGTGTGTTGGGGAATTTTAGCCTTACGTTCGGAAAGTTTAAATGGGATAACACTGAATTGCACGAAAGCCGCTTTTTTAACCTTTTGTCATCAGACAAAATGAGCCGTTTTGAGCCCTATATATGTGTGCCGGTATACACTCATTTTTTTATAAGAAACCGGCTATAAGAAACAAGTACTGGACAGTCAGAAAAAATTAAGAAACTTCAGTACTCGAAGCAAAACAATTAAGAAACTATTTAATCGTTATAAAACTGAGAACAACAAAATTTTGTGAAATCCAAGAATATGATTGCCCTGTTGGCCTAGAACTTAAGACAGAACGGATAAAAATATACTTCCCACATCTAAATACAGCATCAAAACGGAGTCGAGTCTCTTGACGTGATAAAAAAGGTCACGAACATTTCATAACATAATTCATGACATCATAACTAAGAAACTCTTAAGAAACAATGAGTATTGAAATTTCCAGAACATTAAGAAACTGGAGTACTCAACATCGACCTTTGTTTCTTATAAAAAAAATTAGTGTAGGCCTTGATTTACCGCTGCCATTTTGTTGTGAAACTGGAATTTACTAAAGACAGCTCAGTAAAAGATTCAGAGAAGCAGCTACTCGTTGTTTAAAATGGCCTCCACTGCTTTAAAAAAGACACGGAGGGACTGAGCGTGGCCTTCAAGGGTTGAACATAGCCATCACGGTTTTATTATTGCCTGTAAGGGTTGAATATGGCCTGCTGGGGTTCAAAGGGCTGGTAACCACAATCCCCTGAAGATTCTATTGTTACTCAACCAATTCATGACCTACGTATCATTATGGATGAACAGTTTCAAGAAGAGGCTCTGAAACGCACACTTGTATGGTCTTAATCAGTGGCGGACATCTGGAGGGCAAAGGGGGAGCGTTCGCCCTCCCCATTTTTTGAATTCAATGTTCTTTTGTTCTTAAAAAATGGACAAATGTGACGTCATATTATCCAAACAACAGGCTTGCCCCCCTCCCGTATTTGACCAAGTGTTTGCCACTGGTCTTAATCGAGGGGCTTATTATTCTCTCCTAACCAAGATATTTTCTCAGAACAACATAATTTTTCTCGACTATCAAAAGCATCTTTCCAAAAGGCGTACGAGATTTTCAATGAATGAAATGCCCCTCAATCTAATCGTTGCAAATTCAAAGAGAGTGGCCAGGGTGAATATTCAATTTATTTGAAGGAAAGTTTTTTCCGAAATTCATGGTTGCATTTAGTCTACCCTGGGTACCAGAGTCTCCATAATTTAGTCTCAGAAATATAGTTAAAACGTAGTCACAGAAAGTTTTTTGAGGCCACTGCAACTGTCTACAATACTTCCAGGGTACATTTAGGCTTGATCTTTATATATAAAAATTTTGATGTGCCGGATTCCAGATTTGATCGAACCTGCCCTTGTGGCCAATTTGACAATTTTGTCAGCATCAAGAAATTTTGTAATTTTGATGGAAAGGAACTCAAAAGTCTTTACCTCGAAGCTATATTGATTTCTGGAGCGTCAAAATCTAGTTCCAATGGGTTGCGCCATATAAAAAGGCTCAAGCTTTATCGGAATACGACAAGGCCAGGTCTCTAACAAAACTTCTGAAGTGCCACAGCCTCACTATAATATTCAAAAGAGCTGCCTTTTCCTGAATCTTCAAATTAGCATATGCAAGCCCCATTGTAAACAAATATTTCTTGCCTGGCCTGGTTTGGGATTAATGATAAACGCGTAATCTTTCGCAGGGATTAACGGCTTTACAAGACTGATTTGGTTTATCGTCTTGACTTTATAGAAACCTCGCGAAATTCATAAAATGAATAGAAAGTATTTAGAGCTTATCCCCTTGGATCATCACTTTTGTAGAACCAAAGGAAAACAGTTTGCTTCGAGTATGACGAGATGTTTCTACAACTGCGCGAGACTTGAAGTCAAGACATCTGCATGAAAAAGAGAATGCGTTCCCGAGATCAAGCCCATCAACAGGAAGTGGATCCTTTTGGACCATGCCCATATTAAAAGTCCATACGTTACAGACAGTGAGTCGAGTTTGATTTTGTGCGTTTTCCAAGATGAATGCTTTATACCATTTTTACCGAAAATCTATCACCTAGACACACCTCCAAACATTTGAAAAGTACTTATGTCCGTTGAATTTCTGACCTTAAATATGTCAATCAAAGGCCTCCTGACAATGAACTCAGGTCCACAAGTCTCTGTCTGACAATAACAGCAGGAAATGTTAATTAATGTATTGTAACGTAAAATTAGAAAAGGGTGGAGGGGAGAGGTGGGACCGGAGAAAGCAAAATAAGAAAATTGAAAATTCTTGACATTGGAAAGACGAATCTCATTTTAACAGGATAGAGCGTAACCTGATGTCATATAACGCAGGACACACAGCCACAATAGCCATTGGCCATTAGTTAGAGCTTATCGCCATTATGTGGACAGATCGGCACCAAATAAAATCAAAATGGCAATACGATATTTGGTTTCATGTGCTCAAGTGACTGATTCACACTTATTCGAGGAAGGACCGTAAAGCATATACATACATTTCGGTTTTAAGCACCTTTTGAGAATTATTGCCCCTCCCCCCTCAGCTGCGGTTTCTGCCAGTCAGAGAGGGTTCACAATTTGTAATCAAAAAAGTCTAAAAAACTTAACAATTGATTTTTTTGCTACGTTTCAATGTTCTTAGAAGCCGTTAGTGAAATGGGCAAAATATTATTAATCGCTCCTATCTTGAGTCCCGAAAAGATAAACCAGGCCCATCCAAATGACAGAGAGTCAAACATGGAAAAGGTATTAGAACTCGAGATGTCTAATTCGGGTGCTTGTTGGGTAGACGTGTCATGATTCCTATTGTTTGGGGCCATTATTCTAGTCATTTGTCTAAACCAATGAGAATGTACATCGTATGCTCATGCAGTGGCGGATTTAAAGAAGGGCAACTAGGGGCAGTTTCTCGATGAGTTGAAGCAAGTATGGCACCCCCTTTTTGGAAATTGTGCGCCCCTTTTGAAGAATGAGAATCAGCTGAAAAAGTTTCTGAGACCAATAGATTAATTTGCTTCAAGGATTACTTCAAAGTTATCTTGTTTATTCCGAAAATGGATCTGAAATTGTTGTATACAGCGTTCTTTCCTCATCAATTTTGGAAAATGTTTCAGCGCCTCCACTACCAACTGCCCCTCCTTCAAGTTTGCTCTGGATCCGCCCCTGTGCTCATGCATATTATAGCAGAGGTTTGTGGATAAAATGTTTACATCTCATGGCAGTAAAGAACATCTAGCTGTCAAGTCTTTTTGATATTTCACTAACAGTTGATGGAATTAAGCAGTAGTGATTAGAATACAGATATCAATAATATAAGCAAAAAAGATTTTGCAGATCTAGCTATCACATTCTCGTGAAACATTTCACACAAAGCTAGATGGCTATTCACAAAAACACTTAAAAATTGCTCAGAAATTTGCTGAAAGCTACAGATAAATTACACGTAGAGGGTCACTGCTTTAGGTATACGATATTACAATATTGATCCATATACATGGGTGACAAATTATCTTAATGCCTTGCCCAAACCAGAAAAGTTACATCACAACAATACCTGAATGCTCAGTTACGAATTCATCTCGGACAAAAACACAGTATTGCTTAGAATCAGTGTCACATGTCAGCTTTTAGCATATTTTTTGAGAGAAGCACTTGTTCCCCTGGCTTGAATGGGGGCATACCTAAATATGGGCAGCCTCCGCATCTGAAAGCATCTCCAAGGCTGCACTAAAAATGAAAAAAAAACAAAGATAAAAACTTTCAAATTTTTAAATTATTTGAACTTACAGAAGATTTTTTTCCAAAAGGCCATTTTTCGTGCAAGAGAAAAGCACCCAAGCAGGCTAATTTAACTGATCCATCTAGCCTCTGTCTGCTATAGCCTCGTTTTTCTTGCAAGTTACGAATATTCAGCATGCTTCTCTGCTTGAGTAGAAAGTTATGGCATGGTTACGCAAGAATAATACATTTACACATGATCAGTATAAATTTAAAAGATAAGTCGTAATGGTTCCAAATGACCCAGCTTTTCTGATGTTCCCACTGATGATAATATCTGCGGTGAACGGGGAATCTGCAATCATCATGATAGGCCTAGTAACCAATTTTCAACTTGTAAACAAATTTATTTCAACCCATATTTATGCGATTACGCATTTGACCACATTCAATGAAATACAGACTGAACCATTACGTTCGATGTGCACATTTTTATAATGTCACAAATGATAACTTTCTTGCTAGCGTAAACTGGCTCTGCGAACGACAGTTGAAGAGAAAACTTCGAAGATGCAGCTAGGGAAATATTTGGCCTACAAAAAGACTTGGATGGTGTCCTTGTAGGATCTGTATTATCCTACTTTAAATAGAACCATCCTGAATAACATTTAGCTGCCTGTACCAAATTCAAGAAACTTTTGGGCTGCATGGTAGCCTACAGACACAAACCAGACATAGAAAATCCAGACAAGTGAATCCCCTAGATCTAGATCACATAAAGAGCGGGAGTTAGTTTAATTGCCCGGACAATAGATTGAAACATATAAGGCTTTATCTCGTCTCGTCGTTGTTTCACAGCACACTCCGCTGGTGAAAATGAATAGCAAGACGTGAAATGTGCCTGATTCATCTAGTCTCATTAGAGACAGTCAAAACACCCGAGGACGAAAAAATCCATGTACTGGATTAGAGTGTCACTTGCTCGTTTCGATTATCTCGTCAGCAAATATTTCTCATTGGTGCAGAGAATGGCAAGGCTGCCTTTTATAAAGACTAACAACAGCCCCAAGGGCAAGTCACCTAATCATATAGTCTTAAATGGTCCTGGTTATAATCCTGTTTCATTCCTTCGAAAGCTTTTGGCTCAATTTGACGGGTCTTATCATCATAACAACATGAAATACCGGAGACATATGATTAAAAGACTTTCAAACTTGACACATAACCTGATATGGAAAATACTTCACTTCGTAATTAAATTCAACGATAAGCCTTACTCCAGTCAGAATCACGGACAATTCGGAATATTCCAACCTCAAAATTTACTCAAAATGAATGACTCAAAATGAAGTTCGATGGATTGAATTTTGACAACTGAGAATTGAATTGAATTTGACACATTTCAATTACTGATATAAACTAGATTGAATTGCATTGATGGGTGGAGGCAATTCATAGTGACCGGGCACTTAATGAAAGTTACATCGTAACCTCAGTCGTAACCTGACTGCACCGAGATGCGCAATATTGTGAAAAAATTTGATTATCACATCAAATTGGACATCAATCTATCTGAATTTGATTATGAATAGAATTGTCACAAGTTTTCTGGATGGAAGTTAATACTAAATCTACTCATTTCATCACAGCGACACGTAGATATTTAGAGGAAAAGCAAAAATAGTATTTTGATTTGAATCGGTTACGCCAGTGAAAGGTCTTCTGCTGTACGCGTCACTAAGTCTCATTATAAGAGTCGTCTTGCTTAAAATGTGGGGTAGTGATAGCGCAAAAATCAAGAATAGCAGCTTGTGTTTTTCCTGCTCTATCAAAGCAAGCACCAGCTTACATTGAGAAAGAGGCAATTAACTTAACCAAAGATCCACACTGTATGCTTAAATTAAATTGCCACCCCAAATTTCATCCTAAAGGCTGTTCTCGTTTATCTTCTGTAATCCTAGCTTTGGCAACAAAATACTAAGCTAAAACTGCAATTAAAACATAAGCAAGCAACTTAATAAAACCATAGCCATGGATTGCCAGTCATAAAAACATACATACGAGTTTTAACTATCAGTGTTAGGTAGAAGCCAGAAATTGAGTTTGATAAAATAGCATTATATTTAAGTGGTAAACCCTATAGTACTGTTGACTTGTGATATGAAAGGTTAAGTTTATTCATAAACTCGGATTTATGAGATCTTTGAATAGTAATGGGATGCAGTGACATGATGTCTTGGTATGATAAAGATTACTATCTAGTTTTGGCAGTTCAAGAAGGTCAAATAACGACAGATGTGCGTGCTAGTTCGGAGGACCTCAATAAAGACGCGTAGAATGTTTTCAGAATAAGCATGGGAGCATCTTATTCATGTATTTGTAAAATAAATTTTGCTATAGTCTTGACTTTTAGCATTCAAATATAGCAAAATCATGTTCTTGTGAGCAAAATCTCAAGCTAGAAATTAAAACATGGTGCGCCAGTTAAAAACTTCTAATGGGAAAACACAATTTTACAATTCTAGAAATTGTTCGAGGTACAAAGCAGGCTCTTTGCACCATTTAAGACCTTTCAACCACATCCGACGCTTTATTCTACTTAGGTAAATAAAAGCACAGGATATTCTTTGCTGCTGGAGAAAGTTTCCGTACGATACTCAACATCATCTTATTCTATGCAAATAGGGTGTGATGGTTTACTCCATAAGACACGATCTTCTTTCTTCACATCTTTGCCTTTAGAAAGATGTGTTTTGGAATGCCTATTCTTCTTTCCAGCATTTCACAAAACACATGTGAAAGCACATTAAAAATCTCAGAAAGCCGAGATGAAGGGCGCTAAAGCCGCCTTCGAATAGAAAGAAGATAAATGCTAATTGAACAATATACTCACGTTGCCACACGCAGATTTGTATGCCTTGGGCTTGGTGGGTTGTGTACCGTCTAATTCATCAGCCAGACCACATGTACTTAAAGAAAGAGAAGGGGGATAAGTACAGCTTCTAAAGCACATTCTCAATATTAGGGCTAATAAAGATCCAAATGACACAGATATATTAATAGAAACTCCAAGATGGTATGGCAAAAAGAAAAGAGAAAATAAAACAGCGACCATGAGACCATGAGATCTTTTATCTAAATTTTCTAAAGGCGGTAAGAAGCATTAAGGCAACTTTTAAATAGAATCACGATTAAACGAAGCACGAATATTTGCTTCTTGCAGTTCAAAGGATTGAAATTTCATTCGATCAATCTGTCGAAAAATATAAATATTTTTGGCTAAGGACTTAACGGCAAAACGCGTTCAACATCAAATTGGCTAAAAATATTTCTTTCGCTACAATTCTTACGAATCTTGATTTACAACTAAAAAATCAAAGGACAGAAACTCACCAATTTTTACACGCTTTCTTTTTTCCTGAATTTGGACCACATTCATCTGAAGAAGAGAATGGGCGATTAAAAAATTCAACACTTCAAATCTGACTATCAAAGACATTCAGTTGATAAAAAGTTGTACGGATATAAGACATTCCTGCAAATATTTATGGGTAGCAAATATATTTAAGAAAGAAGAAATGCAGATTGTTAATATTTTGGCTTTCTAGCATCCCTAAAAGCAATGCTTTGCAAAACAAACAGAATCTGAGGGGAATATGAATTTGTTTATCTTGTCTATTTTCGAATTCTATAATTCCATTTCCAAAAATTAGTATTTGTCCAAAAGTTGTTGTACTGTTGTTCGATCTTTCTTTTATGTTCGATTATAATGCATAATTGTTGAAGTATTCCCACGAGGGTAGTGTAGTGAGGCAAAATCATCATCGATAAACGATGGAATAATGTGTGGGTTAAACATTTGCCTCTACTTTATCTAACAATTAATGAAACAAAAAGTCTTACTTTTCAGGTTTCCTGTATCTGGTCTCAGAAGATCTTCCTCTTCAAGCAAGGCATCAGAGTCAATTATATCCTTGAAGGTGAAATACAGACAGTTTAGATGGAGTGAGAGAGTAAGTGTTTTGCATGATTAGGTGTGAAGATGGCTCAGTGGTCAGGGTCGCTAACTAATGATCTAAAGGTCCGAGGTTCGTGGCACAGCAATTACCAAACTTTCACGAGGAGAGTCTCCAGCTCTCAGTTATTCAAGGCAAAGGAATTACGGGGTGACGTCACATCGAGAGGAAGGCCAGGGAACCACTTGATAAGCGTGGCTTCTCGGTATCCTAAAAATACAGTATCTTCGAAAGCTAGGTATACAAATACAATTTCAAAAAAGCATAGCTCGTTAGTTAGCTTCAGTAAGGAAGGGTATGGATTTCCCTGTCTTTTAGATTCAGGCTACACCTTTCACAACAAACGCTTGTCTAGACATTATCAAAATCTTATTGACGGCCTATTATCATAGATTAAATTGACAAGTCATCAAAGCGTAGAGTTTGAAAGCGAAATTGGTTACAAAACTATGCACAAATATTGTGGTGCAAAAACTGATTTCGTGTGAATTGAAATTTTGAAATAAAAATGACATTTATATTTTAGCAACTTTTTTAAAACTTTAGTGGATTAACCTTTTTGCTTCTGTTATTTCAAGTTCATATTGCTCTTTGAAAAACTATTAAATGACAGGACGTTGGATTTCCGTGATCGCTCAGTATTTTCCATCAATAACACATTTGATTAACTTTATGCTAGTTTTAGTTTGATAATTAAAGAGAAACAAAACCAGACATAAGGGCACCTACAATGTCATCATCGTTTGCATCTTGTGCGGACAGTGTCCAAACTTTTGCTACATCTTGGCTTACAGCTTTTTTGGTACCTAAAAACAAAATTTGCAGTGTTATTATGATTTTCAAAATCAGAAAGAAAACAGATGCAAATCAAAAGAATCAATTTATAAACAAACAGAAAAAGGAAATATAAATTTTATCATTGAACACGCTATCAAGCCAAACACCTATCGAATATGTAGCTTTTAAAATTAAAATGGGAGCTATTGAATGAAGATATAAATCTTGCAGGGAAATGTAACTATAATGGCGACTATAGTACAAAGGTTTTCTTTTCCCAAGGAACAAGATCGATTCCCTACGAATAAATAACATTCTAGCGGCGAGAAAAACCTATTTATAATCCGCTTTGGATTTGATCTTAATTTAACAGCTTGATTCTCTGCCAAGAAAGCCTTATGCAACTTTATATAACTAGTTTCTGAAAATAAAGAAACGGGTTAGAAACAATCTGAACTTCTTTATGACTGTTTGTGTTTCTTCCATGCAGATAGATGGTTGGTAAATTGATATATGTGTCCTGATAAACGTTTAATTACTTCTAATGATAAAATTATTCCTGATAAATTTCACCACTATGTCATAAAAGATAAGACATGTTAATATATTGAGTTTTATCTATGTGGAAAAAAGCCCAGCAAAGGCAAAAGACGATAAAGATACAGCAAAAACATCAAGGACGGCATTCTTCGGATACATTCGTTTTCAAAACATAAATAGCTTTTTCTTACAACATTATGGGTTGAAAATATGAGTTTTTTCTCGCAGACCAATTTTTGTGCCCATCTGCTGTATCTAAAATTTGTTGTTCGGGAATATTTCTTAGATTTTCGTTGAGAAAATAAATATCTTATTTAATAGACTCGCTGATAAGGGTATCTGCAAAAGATGGGTTGACTTTATCAGACCTTTCCTGTAACTTCCCAGTTTGGTACTAGTTTAGAGGACTCCAAAATCCAAACTAAGACGCTCTGCCATACCTCTGACGCACTATTACAAAAACAGGTAAATCTTCAAGTTGAACGCCTAACCAAAAAAAGATTCCTTATGCTATGCAAAGGTTAAATGTTTTGGCATGGTGCACTAAGTTTGGTCTGATTGTCCAATATCTGGTTTTTAGTAGTGCTGTTAACAAAGTGCATGATTCGTTCGGGGCAATTCACACTCTAAGTTTTCTCCGAGTGTTTGAATGGAGAATAAATAAAGAGGACTAAACTGTTACATTTTTCTATAAAAAGGCTTCGAATAAATACGACATACATGCAACATAGAATATAGAAATGGGTGCAATGGCAAAAAATCTGATAATAGGCGAAAAGGCTTACTTGTTTTCAATGCTATTTTTGCACCAGCTCCAACTTCAAAAGCTGGCTTTTGACAAGAGACCTATTTCAAGACATCAGAAAAAATGGAAATAAAGGCTGAGCTCCACAAGGCGAATTTCGCAGCGAAATCGCTGATGAAGGCATCAAGGCATGCGCAGATTTGATTTCTGATTTCGCAGCGAATTCGCAAGAAAGTAGAAAAGGGTTCTACTTTTAAGTAGAAAACAGTCTCGTGGGAATTTTGAAGCGATTTCGGTGCGAAATTTGCCTTGTGGAAACCAGCCTTGAAAATTGTTTTAAAATAATCAGAAAGACAATTTTAAGAATGAAACTGAAAATTATCAAATTTCTCAATAAAACCGAAACTGGCTAGGTGACGATTTTCTCCATCAATCATGTGCGCATACCAATGCTTAGGAATAACTTGTTACTGTGACAGACTTTCTAAAAACCAAATGCTTGAAAGCTAAAAAGAAGGCTACAAAACCACATAGTTGACTCGCAGTCTTTGGCCTGTGGGGGTTATAGCACAAAATCCCCTCAACTAGTAGAAGTTAATAGCTTACAAATTGCTATGCCTAAAATTTTGGACAAATCTGTTGAGACAAACCCCTAAACTTGTGCCCAGTAGCATGCATCCATAGGCCCACATCTATCGACCCCCTTCCCTCTTTTTAAAATTTGGAGAGTAAGTACTTTAGAAGCAGTGATGTCAACATTGAACTAGGAGAGAGGGTGAAAATTCAAACACTTGTCTGTCCGGAATTGTAGCTGGTCTTAATCACAATATAAAATTTCCGTCAAAAGCTGCAAGACTTCGGCGTGACAATAAACCATTGGGATTCACACTCTACAGTTTATGGGGCTTTCACTGATCGCTTCTTTATATCGACACCCGCCTCTAGACACATAATTTTTAAAAGGTTTTGTCTGATTTCCTAAAAAATAACTCTTTGCGATTTACAGGTATAAACATGATGAAATGTTTCATCAACAAGATAGTATAATTTGCCTTGTTTCTAAAAACAGTTTTGACTACACACGGAGAGCCTTTATGGCATGTTTCAAAGCAACAATTCAGCACTCCCACGGAGAAAAGGTCCAGATTTAAAGAGTTTCTACCTCTATTTCAGTTCTTATTCTTTGTTGGCAATATAACAGCAGGATCGGCAAGACACAGTTTCTCCAATACATAACAAGGTTATTAAATTGTTTAGAAATATGTATCTAATGTTTCTGTCAATCTTTTATTTACAATCGCCTTTGAAATGAGCCATGTAAAACAAGAGAAAGAAAACATTAGAGATAGGGAGTCATGTTGTCAGAGTCGACTTGAAATACAATTCATTCAAGAGTTTAACTAAATTTTCTAACCTCAACCATTTGAATTGATTCACCATCAAGTTGAGACACATTTGGCTGTAATGAAGCAAAACATACAGCTAGAATTCTCCTTCTCTAGATTCATGTAAGAAAATTTCTATATCATTATCATAGCATATGCAATCTATTGATTCCCAAAAGTTTATGAAGCACACAGCCCCTATTTCAATCAATCCATTGTTTATCACGTCTTGACAATCTATTCTTGTAATATCATTTTTTCTGAATCAATAGCCCTGTAATATAGGCATAGATCAGATCTACCAAGCCCAGCAAATTTTGTGTAAGCCTCATGCATTCAAGAAGGGAAGGAAAATAGAAAGTAAAATTCAAACAATAGCATTAAGTAGGTAGAACATAAGATCACAGAAATTAAATAACATACACTTGATTGGTAAGAGATATTTGCTGCATCTTTTGGTTCTGATTTAAACAAGTTCAGATGATTGATTATATTAATATGGTTCCCCGCTTGTATTTTAAGATATCTCAGAATTTTTTTTACTAAGTACCACAAAAAGCAAAGAACATAAAAAGTCTCAGTGTAATGATTACCTCAGATGGTTTTATAAATCCAGATAATCTTAATGTAGAAATAAGTTTTTCAGCTGATCTGCCTCCTAAATATGGGATCAAAAGAACTGAGACACACAATCGATAAATAAGAATCTTTGGTAACATGAATAAGCAACAAAGCATTTTTTCTGTAAATGCCAAGTAAATGAAGTTCCCAAAGACTTTCTGAAGCCATATTTGTACAAAGAAATTTGTTTCTTGCTATCCTGGAGTTCAAAGGTGATAAACACATCAAAATTTCTGTGTAAGTAGAAGGAATTGAGGACTAGCCACCATTGCAGGTATGTTTACATTATCTGTTCATTTTATTGGATGGGATTGTGATAAATTGAACATCAAAGTTTTATTTAAGTGTTAATCAAGTCCACCAGAGAAATGCTATGGGAGTGTTGGGTGTCATACCTTCACCAATAGGCACATATTGACTCTTTACAGAAAGGTTTGGCATTATTTATGGCTTACTCTGCAAACTTTGTTTAGGCATAAATCAACAGATTAACCACAACCATAAAAAATTATTTTGGTGCTGCTCTGAAATCAACACGAATAATACAAGTGAGAAAATATATATGAAATTTTTACGAAGAATTTGGGGTATAATTAGAAAAGGTTTGAATACCTGCTGGCTCTCTAACTAAAAGTTTGCCATTTGGTTTTAAAACTCTTGCTATTTCTGCTAATATGTCTGTGTTGTGAATGTAAGTTGAGGGTGAGAGAATTCCAGATATTGCTACATCAAATGTTGAATTTTGGTGTCCAGCTGCAGAAAATAATTATCATCATATTTTAATCAGGATGGGTAAACTGTTGGAGATATACACTTTATTCACTTGTGAATGAAACATTACTTTAGAACAATCAATTTTACAATAGACTTCCATTGTATTTCATGGAAATGGGCTACCATGGGATAAAATGCACCAGTTTATTTTGTACTGGGACATAAAGGTGGAATAAAAGTATATCAGGACATTTTATAACAACAATCTATTCATAAATGACAGATGCCAAAATAACTAACCATAAATCCTCGAATTGGCCTTCTCTCAAAAAATCCCCCCTCAAATAAGCCCCATTCAAAAATATCAAAAATAAATAAGCACCCAGGGGGCTAATTCAAGGATATACGGTGTCTAATTTGACATATGATTAAAAAGTAAATATTCTAAAATAATGTAAGTTTAATTTGAAGTACTGAATGAGATGAAAGCCGAATATGCAGAGTTAAGACTATTTATCAGGGATACTACAAATTGGCCTGTGACTGGTCATGTTTGAATAATTTACTGATTTTAAAAAGATTCTGTCATTCGCTAGTCATAAACAATGGCCACTAAAATCACATGAAACTATATTGGAACTTGCTTAAAGCTGGTGTTCCCTAGAAACGGCACCACAAAATTGAGCCTGGGGCAAGGGAGCTAAGAATAAAGTTAAGTGACATGGGAGGACCACCATGGTTGGGTCCAACGCGAAAATTTTTTTTGAAATCAGGCCTTCTAGAATGGCTAAAAATGCATCTCCCAGACTAAAATTTAACAAATTACTATACTGCTCAGAAAAAAACAATTTGACAATTCTCAGAAAAACATTTTTTATTTTTAGAAAAAATTTGAAAGGGAGGATTCATGCGATGGGGAATGAAAGAAAGAAAGGGTGACCTTTGTTCAGAATGCACATCAATGCAAATATAACATAAAGCCATTTACATAGTTAACATAAAAAAATAAAGCAAAGACTAATACATCATAGTTTTCTCTGTTAATCAGTTTTCTTTGTCTGGCATACATTATTTACTGTTTTACTAAAAGCTCATCAATTTGCTGTACCTAAACAAATGCCCCGGAAGATCTTTGGGAGGGGGGTGTACAGTTGACATGAAATCCATCATGGATTGATAGAGAGAATTTTACTTCCTGAATAGAAAGGTGCATTTTCTTTGTCTCAAGTATTTTTAGTAGGGCATGTTTACACATCCAAAATACAGACATTGCAAAGATATATAATGTTATACACTAAATTGATAAAAATAGTCGACAAGTAATAGAAATATACCTAAATAAGTTAGTAAATAGATCTGATAAAATCAAGCAGTATATAAACAGTTTGTTTCCTTTTATTTCATACTCTGTTTCCAAAAATAATAAAAAAGAAGGTCAAAGAATTTGTATCTCTGAAAAAGTGGAGTTCCCTGACCAAAGATGTGCAATAACAGTAATTTTAGGACTTTCCTCTCTTAATTATTTTGCAAAGCTTCTCATAACTTAGCTTCTTAATATAATGATTACAAAACCATTAATAATCAACTATTTGAATTAATTCAAACTCTTAAGGATGTTGATATACTACACATAATGCTAATTTTCTACACAAAGGAAAAGGCTTTGTTCTGCCCATGCCTAGGCACACTTGCAAACAAATGTATACTTACACATTTGCAATCAGTGTTGCAAGTGAAGCTCATACAAGTGTAGGTTGTTCAATCATACTAATAGCTTGTTCAATGGCACATGCAGGTAATGTTCATCAGGACCATGCTATCTTCATTTCTCTTTATAATTGGAAGTTAATCCCCTTATTCTTTGCTCAAGTTATCAACACTGGCATCAATAATCTTGATAACTTGAGCAACAAGGCCTGTCTACCTTGGCCCTTGGCCTGAAAAAATTTGCATTGCCAATATAAAAGACATTTTCAGTCTCCTGGTGAGCATTGCTCCTAAGTAAAAAATATAAAACATAGAAGAACTGTTTGCATCAGAGCTGGTAGAATCTGGTTGGTTCATTACAATGAAAACTTAGTGGTGCAGTCTCTTTACATAAATTTGACTTTCAAATCTAAAGGTAGGTGACAATCGATTATACGACTAGTTCAATAGAAAAATCCATTAGCAGGCAAAAAGGAAACATCACGCTGTAAATTTAAACATACAGGTTTGAATGATATCCACATGCTCAACTTGAACCCTTCCATCAGCTCCAGTTTGATTTTTCAATGATCCTACTATACTTTCAATGTTTGTTGGAGGGTTGGCTGATGACCAAAGGACAAGTACCTTTTGTCCAGGTAAAATTGTGCTGATCATGATGAACTTCTCTTCTGTCCTAAATTCAGATTCCAAAAAAGCTCAGTGACGATTTCTTTGACGAATTCTTCCTTCGCCTGCCGAATAAACCTTATTACAGCAGGAAGGTCTCTTCTATCACGGTATTTCTGTGAATTTTGACTTTTTGTTGACAAGAAAAAAGACTTTCTTGGTCAATTACAAAACTAAATCGACGCCACCAAGTTTACTGATTTATTGAACGTGAACGAGGCATGCCTCAAGCCTCGAGTTGATCAAGATAACAGGCGGCCGTGGCCTCCCTGAGCCTAGGGGGGGGGGGGATAATTCTACTTTAATTTCTAAGTGCCCAACGTTAACTTCCCAATTAAAGTTGTAAAACATAGATATGTTTCCTTAACCCTGCGAACATTTTTTAAGCGATTCTGTGAAGAGTTTTAGTAGGTTGTCTTCAAGATTGAATTGCGTGGAAGTAACACAAATTACAATTTTTAGGTTGGCAAAACAGTAATACACGGTGGAGTAGCCCTACCTACAATCAATCGTAGAAGATACTCGGACGAATTACTACTACTAAGACGTCACACGCAGCTAATACTGCACGACGCATCTCACAATGCCACGCCAGTTATTTCTGTCCAGTGTCAGTTCAGGTAATCTATTCAATGTTTGTGCTTCTTTTGAGAGATCCAGTTTAATTCCGATGCTGGCCAGATCTTGCCTTACTGTCTGCATCCAGGTCGTCTTTGGTCTTCCTTGTGGCCGTTTTACGTTCCTGAGATATTCTTTAAGGGTTTTCCATGCTGGTGTTTCTGGATACAAGCGTATGAGATGTCCTAGCCATGTTAGTCTCCTTTCTCTTATTATTTCACTCCATGGTTCACATTTCGTTCTGGCATAGGGCTCGTTGTTGGTAATATTCTTTTGCCAGTTAATTCCTAGGCTTTTTCTTAGGTGTCTACGTTGGAAGGTGTCGATGGTGTTTTCTAGCTTCTTCATTAGTGTCCACAGTTCGCTAATATACAAAAATACACTTGCTACATAGGCATTAAAAGTTCTCAGTTTGATCTTGATGGAGTTTTTCTTGCTGCTGAAAATGCTGTTGAGCATTTTGTAGGCATCAATTGCTAATATCTTTCTTCTGTTGATGTCTTTTTTTGTACCGAGTAGCCTTCCAAAAACTTTGCATTCTTTCCATGCTTCATTTCCCTTTTCCTCGATGCTATACTCTTCCGTTTTTGATACATTTATTCGCAGGTTTCTTTCTTCAAGTTTACCAGGAATGGTTTCTTTAATATGATCTATTCGATGTTTCGCAGTAGATGCCCATGTGATGCCATCAGCACACTGAGGGTTTATTTCAAAGTAGTTGTTCTCGGACGAATTACACTTTAAAATATTTGAAAATAGCACGGAAAAGCAGAAACATGCCATGCTCTTCAGCATTTCTTTATATCAACTTTGTTAAGCAGTGATGGTAGAATTATTTGACATAGGTAGGGCAAGGCTGGCATCAAGAAAGATGGACTGGGTTATAAGAGGGACGGTTGTGGGTGGTGGCAATTGCCCTCTGGTGTAAAAAAACTGGTGTAATTTTCGCCAATTGGAAACTATCATTGGTATCATTTTATTTTGATTAATGTCGCAGCATCGAAGAAGAAAATAGCACAGTTAGCATTAAAGTCGGCAACTGAGAAGAAATTTTAAGCAACAAGACTTAACCCCATTCGTATATCGCTGCGGTAGACAGTGTCGTAAGCTTGTTTTTGTCTGAAAACATATCCATATGGTGACATCTTAACTGTATCTCAGTTTGACCAAGTTTAAGTTTTAGGATAAATGTTTGATTGAAAACGAAACTTCAGTCCTTCTGCATTGCTCACACTAAACAAACAATTGAAATTTCTTTTCGCTCTGTAACACAGCGCAGGGAAATACCAATACCATACCAGTATACCTTGGCAATCTACTATTGCTTTTCGAAACTCTATGATTTGAAATTCTGTGTAACAGAATGATTTGCTTGATATCATGGAGGTTGGAAGGAAGGCATACTATGGACAAATTTTGCCAATCAACTTTACACAGCTATTAGCCTTTTATTTTTAGAAGTATAGTTTTTCTGTTGAAATTCTAATGTTCTTGGTGCATTATTGTTAAACAGATAAAACTCAGTGAAGTAACAGAACAAAGTTACCTTTAGTTAGGTAACAAAGGATCCCAAACCTTCTAGGGGCCTCAAGCAACAACTTTTCTTTGTTAATTTTCCTAGAGCACGCAGCTGCTCTTTACCCCACAAATAAAACTATTTGGCATAATGATGACAGCCTTGATAGAGCTGTACCAAGGACATACTTATCTAGTGGGCGCTAAAAATCGTTGCCTTGTAGCTAATTTTGAGCCACCACGCCACTGCTTTATATTCTACTAGTTCGCAAAGTAATGGCTAGCGTTATTCCTTGTAACTGAAAGTTTGGCCCGCGGCTAGCCCCCCACCCCAGATTTGTAAGGCTAGAATCGCCATTTAACTGCTAAGGGGCAGTGACTTAACTATCAAAATATTATACAAGGGACATAGAGATTTGACACCTTAGAAATTTTTTAGAAGAATCCTGAGTTATGTTTAGTAAAGTACACGTTTAGTGAAGTTCAGTTTAAGGAAATTCAGTTACAGACCGACGCTTTTTTGGTAAGCCATGCAGTGAATAAGAGCTCTTGCTTAGCCAAAAACACGCTAAATCTGGGAATATAAATTGCTTTCGCAAATTTGGAATTTGATTTTGTTCAGTTTTGATGTATTAAAATGTTGAAACTCAAATCTCACTTTGAATTTTGAATATCTTCATTCAGTTATGATAGAATTGAGAAGATGCAAACAAGTCAAAATAAACCAAATTTTGTCACCTCTCGTCTATAATTGCAATATTCCTAATTTAAAGATGATCAAACTATCAATTTAAATTATCAAACTAACTTTAAGACCTGTAAATAAGTTAATGAAGTTGACAAATTTACATTCTCTTATTTACATTTAAAAACGCTACATTTATAATTGAATTTTGTCCCAGTTATCAATTTTCTAAATCTTGAGATCCCTACATGAATGATGTTATAAGTGCGCCTTGTAAACTGACAATTGCCTACTAGACTCGAAACGCTTATCTATAAGCTAGATAAACATCTAATTATCTACGACGAACAAAAACCTAAGTTTTATCACATAGGATGATGAAAAACTGAATAATATGTAAACAAACAACCCTTTGCCCAAGCCTTACTTTTGCAAACTTTGGTTCACTCTGCAGCGTGTTTCACTCGCCGCACGTTTAAAAATAAAAAGATAACTCTGCTTCGCTCAGTAGCACAAGTTTGCAAAATATTCTTGGGTTTGAGCCAGAGTTGCCATATTGTCCCTTTTGAGGCCAAATTTCACAATTTTGGCCTTCTAAAGCGTAAAATGGCCTGGAAAATTGTTTTTGGCATACTTCTTAAATTTGGCCTTTCTGCCCTTTTTCAGCAGAAGTTTTAAGGGCGTTCCTTTACTCTAAAGGCCAAACAAATTATGCAAAGAGCAGTGATACACAGCGTGGACCCAAACGTCAAATATCATTGCCTGACCTAATGATTGGCGAAGGGATTATTTAAAGCGTACGTTTCTCGGTTTTTTGTTTGAGTTTGTTGAATTATTTTCTAGGCTCTTCCGTGGAAATTCAAACTACGCTTGCGCGGTGTATTTCTGCGAAATGTTTTGATTTTGCATTTTTATGAGCATTTTGGCCTGAGTTTGTCATCCGTCTGGCCTTCTTTAGAAAACTCCATCTGGCAACCCTGGTTTGAACACAGTAGGCCATTAACATCTTACTAACACTGACTGCCAAACCCTTAAAAAGACCCCACAAAAAATATTTTGCTTAGAAGCCCCCTTTTACAAACTGTTTAGATTGTATAAAGAGTTAGAATGAATTGTAACCTTGAATGAATTCGAGAGAGAATACTGCCTAAACTCTTTCATTGGCTTGCTTTCTTGTATCTACACTGGCTGTATTAGGCCTTTTTGGTGTGTTAGTCTTCTTCTTTCTTACCTCAGCCGTTGCTGGCCTTTTATTGCTCAGCTTTGTCAGTGAATTTTTCCTTTGTGAAAAAAAACTTTTTCCAGGCGAAGAGTTTTGCCTTTTCCTTTTTCCTGCGTCTTTTATTTTCTCGCCGCAAGGGACGACGTACTTTACTGTAACATCAGTTGCGTCAAATATTTGCGATGTTTTCGAATCAGGAGATGCGCCACATTTACTGCGTCTTCTCCGTGGGCTTTTCGCAGATACCTTTTTCACTGCATTGTTTGACTGCTCATTACCTTTAAGGCTATCTGCATCCTCACTCGATGTTCGGTCGCAAACATAAGTCAACGCTTTATAATCCGATACAACTCTCTTGTGTGAACTCTTTGCCGTGTCAAAAATACCTTCGACAGAATTGAACCCCTTTTTACCCCCTGTTACCCTGTTTCTCCTCGACGGAGTAGATAGTGCACCTCTGGCCTTAAACGGGCAGTCAGCAGACGATCCGCATTGCGGCGACTTTACCGTGTTGATCCGCCGCTCGATCGAAATCTTCCGTTCTCGGTATGCTCCGTTGTATCGCGATGGATAAAGAAGGTTTTCCAACCTCTTTTGCTTATCCTCTGTCGCAGTTGTCTCGTCGTCTAGCTTTCGTAAGGCTACTACTCGACTTAAAAACGGGTCTTGTCGGTTAACAGAAGCCCGTTTGATCGACGTCACGTTAAGCCCACCAATTTTAAGAGGATCTTCGTAATATTCAGCTTTTCTCTCAACCTCATAGCCTGGGACAAAAAGTACCTTGAACTCAGCGCCACTTTCAATGCAGCTCTTTGCAGTAAGATCCATTTCTGCTGTTGCACTGAGGTCTTCAATTTTGTCAGGTACTGTATCTCTTTGCTTTGGGCTCTTCAGTTTGCAAGCAATACATGATGACAAAGGTTTCTTGTCTTCATCAGCCGTCAGATCTTCCTTAGGAAATTTCTTTGTACGTTGAAAGCGCGGAAGAGGTCTCCAGACTTCTTTATTGACTATCTTTATATCAGAAATGCCGTCTGTGATCCTAGAGACAATAAAAACTGAGGAGTAATTTTTTCAACACTACAGTGTTACCTTAATCAAAAGACATCTCCTTAAGACCGAAACCTCGATAAAACGATTAAGCGATTTTCTCCCCAAAACTTTTCGTTATCTTCAAAACCTGGTAACACCCACAAAAAACTGGCTTTCTTCCAAACTTCGTAGAATACCGCTACAGTGAACTTTTATCGATAAACCAACTGTTAAACTTCATATTAAAGGCTTTCAAAGCAAATGACGAAATTAATTAGGGTACATTACAAAGCAAGATCGGAAAAAAATAGAAAACAACACCGCTCCAAAACGAATTCAGTCAGTCACATCTTCCTATTCAATACACTCAGTTCCAGGTTTATGCTAACAATTAATGAAGTCTTACCTCCTTAAATTATCGCTTGCTGTCATTTCCCTTGTGCACGTATCTCCATCTTCCACTTTTGAAAACATCTCCCCTTTTGATTTCCTATTCAGAAGATAGGCAGCAGCAAGCCCGTGTCGATGAATGTCAAATGCTGGAAACAGCCTTCCATTCTACAAAACAAGAAATTTAAGTTTTAATTTGAATTGTGGAATAGGGAAAAGAGAAATATATTTGAAATAAAAACATCGGACTAAGCAAACTGGTTCCAAGACACTTACCACCAACATACCCTATTAACATAATACTAGGCATACGAAAAACGATCAGATTAAAATTTTCCCACTTTTAAAGCTGTGAAAATAGATGATACTCTCCGTCGTTTTAAATTAATCTGAGTATCATAACTCAAGGCAGTCGGAGCCGGGGTGGCTGGGGGCTGGGGGCTGGGGGCTGGAGCCCTCTAATAAATGTCAAAATGTAGTATCTTTCTTTTATAACAGCGTACTGAGTGAGAAGGAATAAAATGGGCTCCCCCTCTCTCATTATGAATGTCGTCCCGACGACACTGCAACAATCTAAATAAAGGCAGTAAGAAACTAACTCATATGAAAAAGTGAAGGCTTACTGGCGAAACTGGATTTAGCCAGTTTCCTGTAAGTTATTTCAGAACAAAGCTCCTGGAGCAAAATGAATATTTGAAGTAATATTCCGGAAGCAAATGGCATGATATAGAATACAGGTTATCGAGCCTTTGGCTGAAAACAAATATAATTGGATAAGGTATTTTGAATCTATCAAAGATTTATCTTTCCAGGCCTTTCCTTGTAAATCTATCACAAATTCTTTCAAATCACTTGTCAGCCTGTTTTTTAAACCTAATAAGAAAATGGACAGCCTGATGCAGAAAATGTGTTTCTTATTTACTGTATAAGTTTCCTTCACTGTGGATAAAAAAAAAGTCGAACTCATTGCGAAAAGCATTTGGCTACCTGGTATCAGGGACCGAGCACCAGTCTAAATGTGGGAGGGCTGAAAAGGGCGTGACCAAAATTTTTTGAGCCCACACCCTCTAGAACGCTGGCAATGCCCCTTTTAGAAAATACTGGCTTATTTCTACTGGGGTTTTATAAACAATCTGGTTTAGGGAAGATATCAATAGTTATAAAAATAGATAAAATTAGATTGGAGATAATAAAACATCAAGAAAACGCCTAGAAAATGAACAAAAATGGTTCCCAGTAAAGAAAAACTGCTATTTCTTAGGAGTATACTATTCAATGTTGCGTTAGACCATAGTTAGAGTAATCTTTCCAAGAAATTTTCTAAAGCATTATCGCAAAAAAAGTGAAGGGGCTATAGCCCCTGCTAGCCCAATGGCCGCGCGGTGCCTGCCTGGTATGCTATAAAAATGCCACGAAGAGAACGAGATAGTTTCAAACTTGCGATTTTTGTAAGTTACTAAACCTTAATCAAACTTTGACGTTAACGTTAAACGTTGACCTTGTTCAAATTGATTATCACCTTAAACTTAAAGCCAAAGCTTTCTAACCTCTTTACATCATATAACATTATCTTCACGTTACAGATGGTAGTTTACACGAGAAAGAGTACATAGCCATCTATAATGATACTGTCACAACGAGCAAAATTTAACTTATCTTCACCATCAAAACATTTAAAAACTTGTTTCTACCCTGACGTTGGTTTAGTAGACAAAAATGCAGTGCTGTTATTAATAAGGGAGTTCACATATGTAAAGGAATATTGTAAATGCCTTTTTCCATCGCGCCAGTGACGAGAATTGACTTGAGATTTTTCATAGTGTCAAAGAAAAGTCTTAGACCATGTTTCGCACATTCACAGTGGACAATCGCATAAACGCAGCAAGGACAATCGAATAAACGGGCTTTAATATTTGACTCACACACAGCTACCGAAAGCACAGTTGAATTGGAAAATACTAACAAACGGTTATAGCCATCTTTCATTTACAACTGGTTATAGTATTATGCAACAGCAAGAAGATGAATCACAAGAAGCAATACCAATAAAATCAAAAACAATCAGCGGGTGGTTTTTTAATATGATCATGGGAATCTTTTTAGAATTAAAAATTCAGCTCCGAGCAACTTTTAAAGAAACTAGCAGCTCCAAAATCAATGAAATTTGTCAAAAAGTAAAATCCAATAGATCTTGAGTTAATCTTTCTTTCAGCAACAGGCGTCGATGCTAGCTGTTGATATACTGTCGTTTTCAAAGCAGTAATTAAAGAAAAGAGTTTTTCTATAAAACGTCACACGAAACCCAAGTCCGTTTTAAATTCTCTGCTTTTGTATAAATTTGTTGTAATGGCCTAGTATTTGATTCTATCAAGAGACAAAGACTTTACTTCTCCTTAAAATTTCAATGTTTATTCTGCAGACTATAAAGACATTTCCTAGCGGTTATACTAAAATATATAACAATAGTTAAAGAAAACTTCACAATATCTTGAAAATACTTTTTTAAGCGCATCTTAGTCGATGAATTTGAAATTCTTTCAACAACTAACATTTGCAAACCTCCCTTGCACAGATAAGAAATGTACTTTCTTGCAAAATGAATTACAAACAACGGTTTAACGATTTGCAATTGCAAACAGCAAGTAATTTATAATCAGCGAATTCAAACTGATTTAGATAGAGACAGTTGTGATTCTTACACTTAATCATTTTATCAATATTTTGCAAAACATTGAAGTTACATGGTACATAGTATTTAGAAAAATTGAGGGCAAACTCTGGAAAAACCTAGGAGTTGTCAAAAGGGTTAAAAAAGGTATATAGAAACAAGCATCAGACATTAACAGTATCAAACATGAAAAATATCAGACATTAACAGTATCAGACATTAACATTAACTGATATTACAGTATCAAAGATGTGCAAGCAAACATCATTATATGCAATACCAGGTTTTATAATAATGAATTCGATAAGCGAAATAACTGATGCATTCTCTTCAGAAACAGAGAAAAACATACCTTGGGCTTAGCTCGTGGTTGTAGCTGCACTTTGCAGGCTTGCACAAGGCCTAGCCCAAGCAACTCGGGTAGCTCAAATTTTCCATCGCATCTACTTCTGTTCATTACCAATATTGTGCGTCGAATTTCCTCATCGAAATATGAGGCAATAAATAATACATAGTGTTTGTGTTAACGGGATCATCTCGTAATCCACGCTCGCCCTCTTAAGCAGTTTTGTTATTATCAAAGTATTCCTTGGGAGCTGTTTATAAAAACCTCACCGTAGATGCAAACAGAAACTCTTCTCATATAGAAATGAGATTGTTATTGATACTATCTCAATGAGTTCGTAAAGGCCTGCGCGGAACAATAATAGATTCAAAGCCGTTGCGAAGGAACGTCAAACACAGCGGCGGTAGAATCACAGTGTAATAACAAGTTTATTATCATTTTGTGGCAAAACTGACAGACAAGGATCGATAATTAAAACTTATAATAAAGATAGCAACACATCGTATCTCACGACAAATCTAAATAAAACAAATAAAACAAAAATCACTAGACGTGGAAAAATCTGAAACTGTACAGTATCGAAGTTTTTACCTGCTTTCTGTCATAACAACGAAAAGTATAATAAGAGCAACTTCGTACAATCTTAGTATATACTTTGTCAACAGTGAAAAATAATCAAATCATAGAGGAAAAGATACTGGAAAGTAGGTATTCTTATCTATCAGCTGGGAAAATTATTTTGTTTCTCGAAAAGACATTATAAAAAAATTCTATGAAAACATACAACGCCCCCTTCCTGATACAAACCCTTCTTAGCCGTGTTTTACTTCGAATTTATATTTTAGTTGAAATTTTCAAACTTTCATAAACAGCTAATCCTAACAAATATGAAATTAAAGAGAAAATAGTAACATAGAAGCGGAGGTCTGAACTGACGAGCAAGGAATCAACTTATAGTGAAGGCGCTCATTTCCAGGAACTGGGTGTCTGGAGCAGAAACACCATTCGTTGGGGTCCAGGGGAAAAGCTTAAAAAGTGCTCATGATTTTGAGCCTATTAAGGATGAAAATGTCCTTAAAATTCACAAATTTTGAAGGAAATCTTTTAGATATGACCTAAAAATACGGCAATTAAAGGGTGCACGCACGGATGGGTTAAGAAACATTATTGTAATAATTGTTGCCAAACATTGAGGTACCTTCAATGTATCTTTTAGAGCGATATTTTCTCATTTTCTTTAAATTCATAGTAAAGCATTTCAAACCGATTTTTCTATCAATATGAATAGTGAAGAAAAATGCACTCAAAAGCCATTCTAGAGAAAGAAGTGCAATCAAAATAGACCTATCAGTTGGCTTGAAAGAATTATCACATCAAACGAAGGATTCAGAGTGTCACTGTTCTGTGAGAAAAATGATAAATAGGAACATAATTTGACTGGGTGTAGAAAAAAAACAGAAGTAGTAAATGTAGAGCTGGTCTAGGAAAAAATACAGATTTTTTAGGTTTTTAAGCAGGAAATTCAAATTGATTCAGTTAACAGCTTTGAAAAGATCTTGTTCTCGTGTGAATACATTTTAGAACCTTTCCGTTAAAGATTGTAGGCAAATTATTCGCTTAAAAAATTAATCAAGCTATATCTGGAGACATAAGAATAAGTGACAAAAAAATGGTAAAATTGAAATGTAGTGAGATCTGAATAGGTAAATGGTGAAAATATGGATCAAAAAGAATGTTTTGTCAGTGACCAGTGACATTAGGTGCTCTGTGGTATTTTAGAAACCAAGTCAATATTTCTAAAACCTGCGGAGTGGACGCACTGCTCATTTCAAGAAACTGCCATTTGAAACTATAAAGACGCATAAGATATCAGTAATGACCCCTAGAAAATCTTTGGATACATGACAGCATGTTTAAAACTTTTTTAAACCTCTTAGCTCTCATAAAATCCTTAAAAAAATATGAATATCAATCTCTCTACTTTGCAAATAGCTACTTTTACTTATTATGCCTGCTGAAATTACTGAGCAATCGGCGTTGCATTTCTATATGTTCTATTTCTTTTTAGGGAGATTTAGCATTAACAAAATGAATGTCCTGTTAGAAACAAAAGTATGAAATATGTGTAATATTGAGATTATGGGGCATAGGACATGCAAAATTTGGCTGATGAATTTTTATGTGCTTAAAAAATTTTATTTGCTCTGCAGAATTATGGGTATAGTTTTCATCATGTTTGCGGAATTATGGGTCCAAAATTTTAACTAAAATGGCACGTCCCTGTCCAAAATTCCAAAATTAGGCATAGTTTACCCCCCCCCCCCGAGCTTCTGCTACCCTTCTTCCCAGAAAAGGTTTATTGTTCAGGCAAGTATCTTCAAATAATACGAAATAACGTACTTCCTGATCTTGTACGTCGTTTCATGGCAAACCAACACTGTTCCTAGGGGAGTAGTGAATGAGTAAATTTGCTCTTGAAAATTGACGTAATTGTCCTAACACTTTTGGCAGGGATTGCAGGATGACAGCAGAAGGTGCAATGAGATAAATTAGAAAGTTTTCAAGTTAGAATTTGTTTCATTGCAACTCCGGTTCTAAGTTGTTACTCCGTGTTTCACTCTAACGGGATCATCGGGTGACAGCTAGATATTCAGCCCGAGGCTGTTATGAAGGAGGACCATGCTTGCATTAGAGGAGACTGGAAGATCTTAGCCATAGAAACTTGATGACAAGGTTATCTTGGTTGTCACACACAAAGCCCTATGCCGAGATAAATGCGATGGATCGTAACGATTAAAAGCAGTCGTTTATGCTGAGGGTAGAACTTTAATGGAGTGCTTGTATGCTGTCTGTTACTCTCTTATCGTAAACTAGGTTAAGGTCCTACTATCAGTTATTAAGAATTAGTCATAATAAGCACAAGTTTGCCTACTCATTGCACAACTTTGTCTAGCTTTGAATCCAAAATGGCTTCAATGAAAATTCTGGCATGGAAAAATTCTTCTCAGTAATTTTTATATTTTTGGAATAAAAAGAGTTTGTCCAGCATAACACAAATATGAAGCACGAAAACTAGAAAAATTAAAGAAAATGTGTGAAATACCTTGGTAGTAAGAAACGTAAACAGGAAGTTACTAGGCCTACCATGTTCTTGTCAACTGCTTTACCCTTGTCCTTCTAGAAGCAGCAATGGAGCAAACGAGCACAGTGACGTAACGATCCATTTCCGAACCAAAAGTTCCGAACCAACAGAACGCTTGTAATTATTATTATTTGACTGAGGGCTCTGTTTAAATATGAGAACATTGCGAGATTCATTTTGTTATCTGTGTGACCTAATCATGTCTTCATCATGGTATATAAATGGATTATTAGGGCCTGTAATCTTTTTAAGGTATGAATATTATCTAGAAATAGTTCCTTTTGAAAATTGTACAATGGTTTAACAACAAAAGAATGTAGAAAAATTCGAAAAGATAACTTTAGAAGGGAAACCAGTACTGTATTTAAGAGAAAGAGAAATCTTTCTGGCGACAAATTTGAAGTAAGCACAAAACTCTAGAAAAAAAACTAGCAGAGTAGATGATAAATTAAAGACAGGAAATAAAGGCTGGAAATACATTGTAACCGTAACATTTAGGCCTTTACTGACAGATAAGATGAAAACTGGAAACAATAGAATCGGCTGTTAGCATCTTTCCTGATTTCCTTTAATTGTTTCCTTCCATTTCTTTAACGGAAAGCAAAAGCTGAGATAGTATAACTCACTTTGAAGAATGAGGTACTCACAAATTTTTTAAGACCAGATTGCAATTTCTAAGGTATTCGTAAAAACATGCTTGTTAAGAGCAAATAATGAGACAACGACCATTGGTAAAGCTCAAGGATCGAAAACGCCTTCACTGTTTCCATTACGTTCTTAAAAAAGGTAGCAAGAATACTCTTTACTTGCCAGTTTATCATTGAGTATAGATAGACTCAATTAATCAATAAATTCGAGCCCTTGCTAAACCTTTTTTGCCCTTGCTGAATTTCTTATTGAATGGCTTTATATCTATTTTTCTTTGCACAACTATTCAAAAAAGGGGCTTTTAACACTAATTTGAAGAATCTAGTTAATTTCTAGCAGTTTCTGTACCGTACTTACTAAAGATAACTGCTTGATTCACGGCTGGTCTACTGTTTCCAGCAATCAGCAACAAATATACCAACATCAATCTCGTTAACAAGAAGAGACTTCTTATGCTGCATTATGTCACAGAAAACGCACCCACTGATTGAGAATATAGATATAAGTGTATTAAAACGGCAAATACAAGCAAACAAATCATATACTAAGCTACAAATCTGAGACTCACCACAGAGTCTATCCAGGAGTCAGTTTAGTGCTCACGAGCGCAGTTATAAGAAGCTTTGATTTCATTGGGCTTTATGTCTATTTTTCTCTTATAACAAGAATGACAGGTACTTTCAAATTGCTACCTAAATTTATCCATCTATCAATTATGGATGTAGGATAACTGCCTTCTGCGGCCGCGAGTCAACCAGACGACCTCCAATTCTTTAATACTCGAGGGCAAAATAGCAGAATTCTGGTCGCTTCTAGCTCAGCGTGTTAATGAAAATGCCACGAACTCTGCAAGGGAGCTTGCAATGGTACACTTGAGATTTTGCAGCCAATTAACGATGTCTGCAAATTAGCAACAAGTAAAAGAGGCTGCCAAATTAATTCAGGCCAGGTGTAAATGTTATTTATGTAGGACAGACACGTTAAAGTAGCACATAGCTTAGCTAATGTGGTCATGTATTTTTCGACAGGTCCAGGTTTCAGCGCTTGCACCAAGTTGAGTATAGAGGAAGGAGGGGGGGGGGGGGTGGCCTGCAATCTTAAAAAAAATATTGTACATAATTCTTTAAGAAATTGATAAAAATGCATTGGGTAAGGGTATATTATTTGGAGATCTGTCTGGGGAAAAACCACCGTATATATAGCACGGAGGTGGTGGAAAAGGGCGTGTTCTCAACCTCCAATACCAGGTTAAAAAAGAAATGAGAAATAATGATGCTTCTCCATTTTGTTATCATGGACCTATGTAGAACAGGACCAAATGGAAGAGCAGGCGTCTTTCAAATAGACTCGAGTGGCGTCGAAGAAAAACTGTGTATAGATAAAAAAAACCTATGAAGCCGGCAAAAAATTAAACCTGGGAAAATTGACAAAACAAAAATAGGAATAAGAAGTGATTATTTAAGAAACAGGGTGTTGTAATAGATAAACTAAAGTGCTGGATAACCATGACTGTTAATATTCTACATTTCCTGCCAAAATTCTTGGCAGGCTACAGTCAATTTTTGAACATTTCCTATTACAAACGTTCTCTCTGTAACAAAATTACTGCATGACTTAGGCCTTAACAGTTGTTGTTACTGTAGTCATTTACAATACATGTTGAAATATGCCATGGAAATAAGTCTAGATGAGATTTGATTAGACTTTGAATAAAAACGGATCAGAGTTCGGAACGGAATTTAAACTAGAATTTGGGTTATGATAGATGGCAATTATCCAGTCCGCTATTGGAATTAGAAGTTGAGCCTAAACAATGAATCGTTGTCTTTCGTTTCCTCTATCTGTTGTACTACCAAACTTGAGTCACCAGCATGTAGCAATTTCGCCAACCCTTCCCCTCAAAACAATGTTACTTTATGTAAAATTTAGAGGTTTGGTGTGGTCCGGTAGATTCCTTAGGTGTTTTTCTTTTGTTAGAAAAAACCGTCACTCTTTTTAACCCTTTTCCCCGGCAAAGCTGGCCTCAAAAGATGAAAATCTAATCTTGGAAGCTTGAGGTCAGTCCAAAACTAAAGGCATTCGGCACAGGTAAAAGTGGCTTACAGCTCGTCAACGAGCGGTTGACCAATCAAATTGCATACAGAGAAAAACATGTGAACAGTTATCGCCTTTCTGCAAATCAGTGAAATCCTACAGCATCGCGCAGAGTTTTTGCGTAAGCAGTTTCCAATTCCCTTCTTGTGCGCGTGCTCTGATCAATTTGATAAAAGCTATTTTTGGATTCGCTGTATTTATGCATGTCAAATCTTTACAACCAAGTCAATGTCAAAAAGGGGATTTCACAACTATTGATATGGTGATTGACCTTGCAATTAAAAGAATTAGTGGATTACTAAAAGAAAAACAATATTTTGCAAGCAAGTGATTAAATATTTACAAAAAATCAATAACATCAACTTATTTGACCAGGAGAATTACAGTGCATTCACCAGTCCTTCGTCGACAAATAAACGAGGCCTTAACATGTCTCATTTAAAAATCAGAGACACCAGGATGTATCTGGGAGGAAACATCCACAAATTTTCTTTCAAGACATCCAGCTTCCCTTCAAGACAAAGGTGCAATTTATAAATGGCTGTGCAAGTCAGTTCCCCCCCCCCGCCCAAAAACCTTGATTTGCACGTTTTAATATGATGATCATTGGCCAGTGATCAGTTATCAGTAGAAGGAACTTTTGACCTCATCAAGGTGATCCAGTCATCGATGAAATTTACTTTGCATTGAATAATTTTTTCCCTTACTTTAAAAAACAATTCTGTTGACATTAACAGAGAGGAATGAGGTGAAAATAAGACAAAGGATGAGGGAGAATTTCAGAACATAAAGAAGAAATTTATTGGCTCAGCAAGGCAACTCTAAATGTATCAAAATCCATATATCATACAAATCGATTGTTTCATTGAGTTTTTATGTTCGCCATGTTGTTTGGGAGAAGGTAGGCTATTGGTAGATAGTTAATATGGACAAAAATTAGAATGGAGATGAAACAGAAGATTACAATTCTAGGCAAACTTTTTAGACAAAATGCAAATTTTGCAATGTTCTACTTTCAAGTGCTCCTGTAAATTCGAATCCCCCTCCCCCTAAAATAAAAATACATTACAAAATAACATAGACAAATGTATTGTCTTCCATAAAATCAAACAAAATCTGGAACAGGGACCTTCAAAGTATCAACTCCTAGCAGTCTACGGGGTTATCAAAGGGACTGGTAGATGCATTTGAAACTTCGCAACTCAATATTTGTTAGTATGTATGTTTTGTATATGCTTGAGGCGCAAAATAATCGAGGATTACAAAAGAGATCGAGGATTCCAAGAAGGGATCGAGGATTCCAAGAACAGGCCAATGGTCTACAAAGCTGGGAGACCTCTGCTGTAGTGTGGACATCCTTTCTGACTGATTCCCTGTCAGTTTTGTATAAGCATTTCAATATGTTTAACATATGCGGTTATTGGGTGTTTAACATATGCTTGAAAGATTGTGGTATTAAGTTTAGCAACGGTTTCCTAAAATTTGATAGCATAATCAAACTTTAATCACATAGCAGTTTTCTTCACGCTCATACCGTATTTAGCAAGGTGAAAGGTCATTTTGAATGCAATGTAAAGTCTTGGTCAGCATGGCAATAAATGTTTGAAGAGTAGTGGTTAGACTGACTACTCCGCGAAGCTGTTACGTAATATTCAATAATGGTCTTTCGGTTTTCGATCTCACAATAACACTACCAAGGTGGAACTGTTGTTGCTTCGCCCTATTTTGGACTGTTTTTAAAAAACATCTTAAGAAAACAAAATGCAAACACTGCAACTGTAGGATTTGCAAAACTTTTATATATGGTTTAGGTTTTTTGTAATTATTATGTATTTTCTTTGTATACACCTTTTGTAAATAGTTGGCCTTAATTAGCTTTTATTTTTAGCTATTTCGAACAGCCAACTTTAAATCAAAGTATTAATAATAATAATAATAACAATAATAATACGCCATGGGGTGTCCAGCCTTAGCTTTGTTATGACAATATTTTCCCAATTTTAGACACCAAACTAACAAAATAATGATATTTCTATATACAGAGGTATAGTAGTTTGCTTAAGATCTTATATATGATTAAGCTATATTCCAATTTAGCAATATAAGAAGTTTCCAAAGCTTTCCAAAATTTTCTAAGGGCAACTATTCCTTCTAAACGTACAACCCCATGGATATTGTAATGAAGAAGAGGTATATTTTTCAAAGGTATATTTAACGAGCAGAAATACATGAGCTACCAAATAAAATAACTAATTTTATCATAGTCAATTCTATGAAACATTTAACAGCACTATAAGCTGTATCAATAGTCGGCATGAACATCAGTGCAAAAAATAAGCAGAAAACAAAAGAAACATACCAAACTTGAAAGTAGAGAAGCAGGTTGTCCTGGAGGGCCTAGCTAGAATTTAACTGTAAACTAAGAAGTTGACCCATAAGAACAGTTGAAAAGCATTTGCATTCACAAATTAAAAATTAAAAAGCTTAATATGCACAGTTGTTAAGACGAGTGGGCAATCGTAAGAGCCTACTGGGAATTAATAATGGATAACAATCGAAAGGACTAACTTCTTCAAAGCGAAACCTTTTCTAGTTAGTTAGGAAATTCGCATTGAGCTTGTTTAATCAGTGCCGGGTTTTTCTGTTTAAATATTAATCAACTGGGCTCAGTTGGATAGAATAAGTAAATAGAAGTTCCGTCATGCACTTGGGGATGTGTTTTAGAGATTTACATGCTGGAGACAAAAGACTCAAAATGCTTAGGGAAAATGATATCAAAACCTTGGCACCCCGAAAATGGGGGAGGGCACAGAGAATATGCATCTTATAAAAATTCCTTTGCTTACGTAGAATCTCTGAAGCAGAAACTTCAAGCTTTGAAGGCGATAGAAATGCATGGTAGCATTTCCCTTTATGTAAAAATGACAAAAAAGTGAAATTTGCATAAAATTCTGATATTCCTGCCTGATGACATCTTGGGGAAATGTGCAAACTCTTAAAAGAAACCGGGACAGAGGTTTCCAAGCTGATGATGCATATACAATCCAAAATAACTCTCTTTTAGAAAAATTAGGCAAAAGAAAGAAATTTTATGCATGCTAGATGCATACTAGAGGTATGAGGCAACTGATCTTACGGGGAGAGATCAGATGGATAATTTTTGCCACACTGTTAGAAGACTTCAGGGACGTTGCTAGACCATAAACTGGGGATGAAAAAGGTTGGGACTATATTTCACTCAATTGCTGCAGAGCATACACGCATGGGGTCTAACTGAACGTAGATAATTCGACAAGTTCAAAAATCAAAACTCTCACGATAAAATTCATGGGAAAACAGATAATTCATTCCATTAGGGTGAGTTATGGAAGATAAATGTACAAAAGAGGCAGCTTTTCGACCAGTCGCGAGAAAAAATCACATCTTTCTCGTAAAATGATGCAGTCAGCCTTTTTGATTATTGCAAAAGTCGAGCAAAAGACATCAGAGTTTCAAGAACCTTTTTTAGCGTTCGGGTAGTTAGTGTTCCTTAACTTATGATGGCATTAATTTTTAATATCTGTCACGGCATAAATAACAGTGCGCGCGGAAAAACAAGAGAAGGGTCGCCCTGACTGGTCCAAGATTCAAAGTTGGAGAATCGGTGAGTGGATTTATTTTGAGCAATCTTATTCAATGCTTCTTTCTGTTATAATGCAGAACCTACAAAAAATCTGAACGATCCAATCTTAGCATAGAAACAGCAGTTTAGAGTATGTTAATCATCGATTCACGGGGAAGGTTCTTAAAGAATCTCAGGATGCAATTTCAATAGAACAAGAGATATGTGGAAAGAGCCACTGCCCACTGGAAGGGGGAATTCGTTGTGTAGAAATCGTTTCTTCAATCTTACAAGATTATATCAGAGCAATACTATTTTCCGTTTCTTGGATGTGTTGACTAAATATGACTAAATACTGATTGACTAAATATTTTCTAGTGACAAACTGCAGTCGATTCGTGGTACACCAAGCAGGGAAAGACAGGCAAAGATGAAGAAGAATAGTACGCGAATGACTTCGATTGGTTTAAGTGCAACAGCCAATGTCACATTAAATAATTCACTTGCATACGTAGAAAACGTCCCGCTGGTCTTCAGACGCATACAGATCTTTATTGCCGCCTCTATTCTGATAGCGGGATGTTCACTTAACGGTCTGCTACTGCTTCATTTAAATAAAAAACAGCAGAACCCTAATGAAAGAACGCCCCCGGCCAGTATACTGATTATGTGCATTGCAGTTGTGTCTACGTTGGTTCTGCTAACAGGTATGATATAAAGCATTGTTTTTCAGGATGAAAAAATGAATTTAAAACTGAAGGTAACAGTCTTTACATGAATAAGTAAACAAAGTTTGATCATATATACAAAATTAAAATGATGAGCAGAATAGCCTGAACATAATGAAAGAAGACTTTACAGAGTTGCTTGGTGATTGCATCACACATGAAAGTAGAGAGTACTCAGAGGAACAAATTGTAACTCTCCAAATTGGAACAAATTATAACCCATTGAAGCACCAACAGATCTTTCTATAAATGACATCGCCCGCTCTACTACAGATCGATTTACAATATTTTTCATTTCATACTATATTCTTTCTGTTATTGCAGAGCGAAAAAAAGTTCTAATGTTCTAGTCGCTAAGCACTATCTCAAGTAAGGACTAGATGTGATATTTTTTGCTATGGATAACTAAAATTGACAGAAATACGCCTGGACCATAGCCAAAATCGTCACTTCATGTGCTGGTACCAAAATTAAAGTATCGAATCTGATTTACCAAAGTAGCATTTTTGGTTCCCGCGAGAAATTTGCGGTTTTGTTACTTGTTCACTCAAAGAATGTTGAATAAAGCTTTCTGTAAAAGAAGGATGTGCCGTAAGAAAAAGAAAATTGGCTGAGAAATGAGAAAGTGAATTTGCCATGAAAGAAAGAGAGAGAAAGCAATCCACCGTAAGAAAATCGCGAAAATTCTTCGCTGCATCGCATCATTTCTATATCATTAGGTTTCTTTGTCTTATGCTATTGCAACTTCTTACTGTAATATATTGTTAGATTTGTTTTATTTTGATTTTAGCTACTTTTACTTTTTAGTGGGCCCTTCTGTAAAAAACTAACTAACACGTTGTTAATTAATGTAGATTATTCACTTTAAATATATCATATCATTATTATCATTATCATTATTATTATTATAATTATTATCATTATTATTATTATTGTGTGATGAACTAAAGCTTGACTACCAACACCGTAATTTTATAATTAAAAAACTGTCAGCAATAATTTTACGCACATCCTATTATATATTCTGTATGCGCAATAAGACTTGGACAAACCCTGAACTGCTCTCCTTCTAAAGATTCTTTGCACTCATATGATTTTATTTAAATGTTATAACTTTTGTAAAATTAGTAAACTTGTCACCAGGCTAGCCGATAGTAACTACCTGTAAAGTGAGGTTACTGTTGTAAGTAGAAGAATATAAAATAAAAAATGTTTTCATTATTATTACTAAAATTGACCAAAACTTATCTACACTGACTTAAATAGCTTTTCTTTAATAATTTTACTGATAAACTTATATCAACTTCAAATCAGCAACTAAAAATGTGCTACAGATCTTCAGATAAATGTCTCAATTCTCATTTGACATAAAATGTTAGAGAAAATCTGCAGGGAAGATCATTTTCTTGAAGTGGTGCATTACCTTTTAGTAATAAGGGTCAGAGATGAAAACGAAGAAAATTACTCATCCTGCTTCTGGTGAATGAACAAGCCCTCTTCAAAAAAATGAAATACTTTGGTCTTGAAATTTTTGAAACATTGCCATGGACTGTGTGATTACAACTCTGGCTGTGACATAGGCATTGAGACCACTGACTTATAGAATATTGCAATGGCATAATTTCTGTATTCATTGAAATGCTTATGAAATTGATTTTGAACATTTTTTCATTACAAAAATGGTGTGTGTTGCCATAATTAATCTTCTTATACACGGAAAGAACAGCCTCGAAAATGTTCATGGCTATTTCTTTGCCTTTCAGGAATACCAATTCTAACAGCACTTTTGGTCATGGATTTCTCCCCATACTATCTTTGTGATTACCTGAGCTTTGCACACTACCACATACTGTTCTATGGCAATGCTCTCGTTCTCAACTTCATTGCTACTGTGCTGTTTGATCGCTACTCCGCACTTACCAATTTCAGATTCAAAATCACCAAACACAATGTCAAGCGTATAATCGTGATAATAATTATCTACGTGAGTCTGGCGATTTTTGGCATGATGACAGTGAGAGTCTTTCAAGGAGACAGAAGCTCAAATAAGACTATGTTTGGCCATTGCCACTTTGCAAATCACTTGGAGAAACTGAAAAGCAAAGGAGAGAGTCATGCATATGGAACTACCATTTTAATCATCGTCCTGATCACACTGTGCAATATCTTCATGGCTAGGTTCACCAGGAAGACACTGCGCTATATACGGCAGGTGAGAGGTGTCCTGGAGGCGAATGCATTTTGCTTAACCTTGCACATTGTAAAGTATCGATCAGAAAATATACAGCGTGTCTATAGAACATATCAAGTGATATCCTGAAAAAAGCTAAAAATCTAGACAAGGATATTTGTTGGAAGAAGTTCTTTTGAAACAGCCCTCAATATAGTTCCACTAGCTTGTTTCTAAAATATTTTTTTTCATAGAGGAAATAAATAGCGGTAATAATATAATGATAATAATATATCTCGCCAAATCTCTATTTCGGAGCAGTTACTATAGCACAAACACAGAATTGCCAGGAAAGATGTCATGTATGTGCAGTATAGTACCACAGGCTAATTTGAACTGCTTGCATAGTTTGATTAAACGTAACTTTAGGAAATTGCACGATGAAAGAGATTTAACAGTTTAAAACATTGTCAGATTCTTTTTACAGGTCAATAGAAGAACAAAAGAAAGTGCACTTGGGGAACAGATTCAACCACTTGAGACAAAAAGAGTCAAAGTAGCCTTCCTTATAGGAATACTGTTTGACTCTATGTGGATTCCCTTTGGTATTATAGCTACATTGCAGTATCGTGTTGATCCTGAAGTCACTGGCATCGTAAAAGTGTTTCTACACTTGGCCGCTTATGCTTCTTTCGGAGTTTTCCCTATTATTTATGCCAAAATGGATCGACGTTACATAAACTTTATTTACCTAAAAGTCCCTTGCCTGCGAAAGAACGCTGTTGGTGATGGTCAGTAAAGAAAGAATGGATGGCAGCAAAGTAATCTCTTGGTGAAAAACTGAGCTTGCAGCATTATTAAGTCATACTGATTAATACTTACTGATCTAATGAAACGTGAATTACTGGGTATGATTTTGGATCTTGCTTTAATATAAAAAGATAGTAAGGTTAGCAGGTTTAGTACCATTTCTTTTTATGCCATAATCCATGGAAGAGCTTTTTATTAATGTGATATGGTGCGCAACGTTAATCTTGTACTGCTATGTTCAATGTACTGTTGTTTGCAATGTACTGTTGTATGCAATGCACTATTGAGTGCAATACAATGTTGAGTGCAACACATTCTTCTGTGCAGTGCAATGTTGTTTGCAATGTATTGGTGTGTGCAGTACACTGTTGCGTGCAATACAATGTTGAGTGCAACACATTCTTCTGTGCAGTGCAATGTTGTTTGCAATGTATTGGTGTGTGCAGTACACTATTGCGTGCAATACAATGTTGAGTGCAACACATTCTTCTTTGCAGTGCAATGTTGTGTTCAATGAACAGCAGTGTGTAATGTACTGTTGTGTGCAATGAACTGTTGCGTGCAATGTACCGTTATGTGCAATGAACTGTTGCGTGCAATAAACTGTTGCATGCAAAATACTGTTGTGAGCAATACATTAGCTGTTAAAACGCTGCTATAATGTGTTTTTAGAGACTTAATATTTTGAACTCCAATCTCACAACAACGATGTAAATAGCTTGGTTTTAGACACAACAATATTTCTCACAAAGTCTGCACCTCATTACTTGAGTATTTCATCAATTTTACGAAGAGAATACTACGCTTAGGCTTGTGAGAGACATCTCTGTAACAGAGAATAAAATAGAAAAACGTAAAGCGCAAGTTGCATAGATTAGCCCTAAAATTCCTGTTAATCTAGTGATTGACAAAAATACAATACAAAAACATGAACCAAGGCAAAATGAACCAAAAATGGATTTTCGTTTGGTCTACGATTAAATAAGATACGATAAATTTTTAGACGAATAAACTTTAAGAAGATGTCATCCGATCGCATAGAGTGTGAGAATGACTAAAGGTCCATTATATCAGAAAAAAGAAATCCAATGTGTAGCGTACATATAATAATGAAGATGAGGTAATAGATAGCTACAATATGGTAAGTAACTTCCTAGAAAATGCTGTTAAGGACTTTCACCCGAACCTTTATTCTCTACATTCATATTGTTTTCTCTGCTATTTAGTGCATATGCCCCAACTTTGTTAAAAGGAGAGGAGTAATTATTATATTAGCCAAATATGCTTTCAGGTATTCATGCTTTTCTCTTAAATTTTGTATTAGGAAAATAAATGGCTGGGTAATAACTAATATACATAGCATGTAGTGGAAAATGGAAATTACAGTGATGTGGTTGTGATTATTATTGTTTTCTTCTGGTCTGCTAGCGGTACAACGTTTGAATAGAGCGGTAGTACTAACTTAGGCTATTTAAAAAGAGTTGGTTTCGATGTTTTAGCTTTAAACTCTCAGGCCTAAAACGATCCTCTAACGATTTATGATCGAAAAAGGCTATTTGCAAATAGTAAACGGATTGTACGAAAATAAAAAGGAATTCATTGATGTAAATAAGAATTAGCTAGAGGTACCACATTATTAACCAAACAACAAGCAACTTTCTACTATGGCCTGTCTCAATGAGCAAATTCGTCCCATCTTTCATCCCATGAGCTGAGAAGCAAGATCTGACCTTTCTATTTAAGCTTTGTAACTTCCATCTTGTGTTTACACGAGAAACACTTTATCCAGGGCAAATGAATATCTTGCTTTCAGCTTGCAGGATCTAACCTCTCAGAATGACTACATCCCACCTGCAGTTTTATGGGCTGAAAGGTGGGATACAATTTGCCTTGCCATTGAATGATACATTCGTTTTATATTTAGTTTTTTTTCCTCGTTGTAGATGCAAGCTTTTATCTTTACACGAACCCTTTAAAATAACTGAAAGAACAGCGCTTCCCACCTCAAGCGAGTTACCAATTGTGATTTCCACAACGAACTGCGGTACTAATTTCAAAGCTAAAATAATCAGTTGAGGTCACTGAAAACCTAGAAGAGATTCCAATAACGTGCAAATGATATATAAATCTAGACGTAAAAACAACTTACTTGCTTGAGTCCGTAGATATTTTGGTGCATAGCAGCATCGTATCTGGCTGTCTGCAATTGCTGCAACATTTTGTTGAACCAAGTCTGAAAGAAACGCAAATAGGGTAAATTGTTTTCATGGAAACAGAAACAAGCACAGCTATACAACTGGAGATAATCCCTGCAGGGAGATCTTTTTATAAGCAGAAGAAACTGTACATATTGTTAACTAACATAATCGGTTTAAGAGTTTCAAAGAACGCTTTCACAAAGATGAGGTGTTAAGTCCTTTCCGCAAGATGTGCAACAACGGCAGCCAAACAGCATATTCTACAACAAACGCGTGACTGAAGTGCAAAATCTATTTGCGAAGAAAGGGCTGAACATCTGTAAGCGCTTTGTTTCAAAACAGCAGGATATGCGCTAGAGGAGTGCTTGCATTGGTCACCCAGATGTTAAAGATATTGAATATGTTTTGCCTAAACAAAGTCGGGTTCGTTATATCTGAGTTAAATTACAAAAAGTGACACAATTCAAGCTGGAAAGAAGAATTATTTTGTGCTACCAATGGACAAATACCATAAAACACAGCACCTTTTTTCCAATATTGACCAAAAGCGGCACAACTGGGGGGAATTGGGCGGGGACATGTCCCCCTCATTTGTCGGCAGGATCAATTTTGTCGAGAAAATAAATCAGGATGGGTAATAAATTTGCAACTTCTTTTTGTCATGTAATTCAATGATTTTGAAACTGCTTTCACATAGCCAAAAGCTTGTCATGGGCGTTCCCTTCAGGTAAAACTGGCGTTCTTTGTTGGTAAAAGGGCATTTTCTGGTGGTAAAAAGGGCGTGGCCTAAAAATGTTTGTTTTGCCTCCCTTCCACAGAGCCTAGTAGCTGTACCTGCCACTGATGTTGACCATTGCCTTCCCCCTTTTACTCTTCTTCAGTCCTAAAATGAGCGTGGATCTGACTCACTTTGTGGAGTTGTAAATTAAAATTGTGGAACTGTTATTGTAGAAAGTGTGGATTTGTAAATAATGCATGTTCTCAAAATTGCAGCATAAAATATCAATCGAAACGCCTAAAAAGAAATGGGAACATTTTTTTCAATTCGAAGTGAATGCCCAATCCCAGCCTAATGTATTGCACTCATTTTTTATAAGAAAATTGCGATAAGAAATAAGCAATGGACAATAAAGAAGAATTAAGAAACTTCAGGGCTCGAAGCTTCAGTACATGCGGAGAAAAATCAATTGCGCTTTATGATATTGTTGTGTGCTATTTTGAAGTAATATGGACTCTGCATACAGCTTTGATTTCAAGACATCATCTCAATTTAGTTTACTTTTATGATTTGCTTCAAAAAAGACACTGAGCCTAAACCAAGAGTAATGTATTTTAGGGTTTATATGAAATCTTTCAGTAGATTTCAGAAAAAGCTTTAAAGCAATTCAACTAAGGTGTTTTAAACTGGAGAAGCATTGGAAAAATTCCTCTCAAGGCTACAGCAGCTGAACGATGATAAGCCTCTCGGTGGTAGCTGGGAGGAGCATTCAATTGGGAATGTCGCATAACAGGGACTATAGCCCTCCCCAACTTTTTTGCAATAAAAGGTTAAAAAATATTTTGAAAGTTTACGCTAACGAACGCATTAGTAGCAGTTCTGCTGGGAACACGTTTTTGTTCTTTTTGTTGGTGCTTTATCTTGTGGTCAAAGATAAATTTGTATTTTATCTAGCTCGGTTTTGTTTTTTTAATGTTAATTGAAATCTTCTTTTAATCGTTTTGTTTATGAATAAGGACAGAAAGAAGCAAATATTTTCTGAAAGGAGCGTTTTCCGGTGTTTCAAATGGCGTGGCCGTAAAAAATTTAGGGGCAAGCCTCCAGTCCCGTTCCAGCCACTCCCTTGTGAGCTGGTGCCAGTGTGACCTGATCTAGCGCAATATTAGCAAAATATTGGCCAAAAATCGTCATTCAGTATAAAATCTAGCATGATTTGGAATCTAGCATAACTCTGGCATAATTCTGATATCATTTAAAAGAATCATTGTTTCCATTGTCTATCGTTACCAAATGGAAACACTTTACACCAGCATCTGTGGTTTCATTTAAAGACTAAATTGTGACTTTTTCACCTTCAGGATTTTGCCAGTTGTTTTGAATGGTTGGCAGCCACATATTTTGTGGTTGGCAGCCAAATGCAGCCAGCTAAACGCAGTATACAAAAAAAGCTAAATTTTTGCTAATTATTGGGAATGATAGCGTAATCAATATTTGCTTTGTAGGTTACAAAAGTTTTCACTTTTATCTGAAACTGTCTGTTATCTTTCATTTTGTTTCATCATTCATCATTTGCAATTTTGAAATTATTTTAAAAAGTTTTGAATATTATCTGTGCAAAAAATTTTGTTTCCTTTGCATTTTCGTTGTTATTTACAACATGCTGCCAGAATTTAGCCAAATTTTGCTTCTTCGGCCAAATTGATTTATGACGGCCAAGGGGTTTTGAGAAACTGCCAAAATGGAGAAATTTGACCATCAAACCATAAATCTAAATTGCCTGTTTGTTTATGAAGCATGAGTGCACTGGGTTGTCAAAAAAGCCAAATTGCAACTCTGGCCACTTTTGCGATTCTGAGCATGCATTAAGCCCTGGCAAAACAACTAAATATTTCACTAAACATTTCACTCAACTTTTGCTTAGTCAAGTTGAGCAAAGTTTAGCGAGGGTGGCAAAACGTGACTAAACTTTTCACTAAACTTAACTCGACTTTTTCGAACTGCGAGCTGTCTATGACGCTGTTGGGTTGTAGGGGATCTTGCATAGGAATTTGCTTTTGGTTTATTTTGTTCCAT